ATCGTGTTTTGGGTCCCTTCCAAGCCAAACCAGGCTGAGATTCCACGATTCACAATTTCTGTGGAGTTCCCAGCTGTGTGTGTGATTGAGCAGACTCTTCATGAGCTGATGGAATTGGCAGCTTGTAGATGTTCTGAGGCTCTCCTGATTTGAAGGAAACTCTGTAGTTTACCCAACTTCTGAAGAGTTAGTGTTGGCTTTTATCTGCTCCAGGAGTTGGCTTGGAAGGCCTCAATGGTTCAGCCAAAAGGCAGAGGAAAGTTTGCTCTGTGAATCCAAGAACTCTCTATGACAAGGGCTGTGCCTCTCTTGTCCTGTTCCCTCCTTTGAGGTGCCCATCCAGCTCTCTGTGCTTCCTTCCAGGCTGCTTCTGCCTTCTCCAAGATGAAGATGGAGATCAAGAAGAGCCGGCGGCACCCGCTGGGCAAGCCCCCGACGCGCTCACCACTGTCCGTGGTCAAACAGGAGACCTCGAGTGATGAGGGTGAGTGAGCAGCACCAGAACTGGGGATCCTGCTCAGCCAGGGTGTCCTACCTGAGCCAGGGAACTGCTGAAACCTCTGACAAAACTGGGTGGCCTGAAACTCTGTGTTTCATGTAGCTGGTAGGAAATGCAGCGTGTTCCCGTTTGGATAACCCAGCTGGAAAGAAAACTCCTCCATGGGAGGTGTCACTTCTCAACTCCCACCCTTTTTTCACTCAAGAAAAATATTTTGCTGGCTGCAGAATGAGGCAGCATTTTGGGCAAAGGGAAAAAAAGAGTTTGCAGAAAATAAGATCTTAAAAGCAAAGCTCTGTCTTGGGTATTGCAGTGGGATGAGATCTGTTCCCCTTGGAGGCAGTGGAGGTCAGGTCTACCCTCATGTGTGTGAGGAAAGTCAGTTCTAACTTTTGCTTGGCTCCTAATTCACATCAGTGTTGGGGTCCAGCTTTCCTTGGCAGATGCAGAAATGAGAATTGAAATGTTTTTCAGTGTTTGACTGTACAGCACTCATTCTTCTATTCCCACATTCCAGTCCCCAACAGTCTGGACCAAGGGGAAAGAAAAGATTCTTACCTCTCCCTTAGTTTTGTGGTGTAATTTCCACTTTGGGGCCTTTCCCACATTACTCAGAGTATGGACAAGCCCCCAGGAAGGAGCTTTTGTGTGCTGGGTTGGGCACTGGGTGCAGCTGGCACTCCCTGCTCCCAGCTCCTCATTCCAAAGGACAGCACCTCCCCTGTTCACTGTCCTCCAGGAATGCATGCATTGATTTTGGAGCAGCCTCCTGCAGGAAGGGAGTACACAGAGCTCCTTTCCTCTCCAAGGAGGATGCATTTGGTGCCTTCCAAGTGTGTAACATGGACTGAAGTGTGCAGAGGCAGCTGAGACTTGTTATCTTGTTTTGGTGTGAGACCTTGGAAGCAGCTCTGTGCTGGAGGATCCTCATTAGGCAAATTCTTCTCACTTCTTTGACTTTTTGGATGGTGTTTGGGGACTTGGCTGGTGGAGCAGGAGCAGCTCTTGTGGAAGCTGGCATTTCCTGGGGACTGATTTATAGCTCTGCTGGGCAAAGTCTGATCAAACAGATTCCTCCATCCCCACCAGGAAAAGGAGGCAGCTCCCTGCACCCCGGGCTGTGTCAGGGAATGATGTGCAAGCTGCAGGAGGAACAGTGAGCTGTAAATGAAGGGAATGCACATTTTACACAAAGGTTCAGCCCAGATAAGCAGTTTACAATGTGGGAGCCATCCTGAATGCTGTGTGTCCCCCTGGATCCATCCTGGAGGAGCCAAGGTGACAGCACACCACTGTCATTCCCTTTCTTCTCTCCCTCTGTCACTCTGGATTAGGCTGCTGCTTTCACTGATTTCTCTGGTATCAGAAATCCTGGCCTGTCACCTGATGTGCCTCGACTGAAATTTGGAGAAAAGTGGGTTTTGATTCATGTCTTAAAAATAAACAAGATAAGACACTTTTTAGGAAGTAACCCTCATTTGAAATGTGACAGAGCCACACAGCCAGCACTCATCTCCTCAAAAAAGAGATTCATTAAACACAGTAAAATTTCCACATTGTCTGACAAATATGGGCAACATTTAAAATCTGAGATGTAAATGGCTGAGATCTCAGCCATTAACGTTTTACTCCAAGTTCCTTTTATCCTTTCAGGTAACCCAAGAGTCAGAAAATCTTCAAAGGGAGGGAGAACTGGGGAGGAGACTTAGACTTGTAGAGCAGAACATAAACTGCTTATTTCCAGTAATTAACAGTGAAGCAGTGAACAATTTGGTTTAATGTGCTGAGCTCTGGGGATAATGTTCTTCCAAGATGGTTTTGAGTTCCCTCTTCTTTTGGAAACTTTGCAGATTGGTGATGCAGGGAGTGATTTACACTCAGCCTTGTGTGGAAAATTTCTTTAACACTTACAGTGACTCAAAACTCCTTCCTAAGGAAGGGTAAGAAACTTGGACCCCCAGACTGCCACAAATGGATTCTGCAGTGGTTTAATTGTAAAATGACCTTTGAATTGTAAAAGGACCTTTGAAAGAGCTCTGGCAGAGGGAGGGATGGTGGGGAATGCAGATGGGGGTTCAGTGGTGTGGGAGTGGCTGTACCAGAGCCCCAGGCAGGGTCAGTGTGTGCAGGACAGCTCTGGGATGCACCTTGGCAGGGCTGGCTGGGACTGGGAGCTGGCACAGCCTGGCACTGCAGCACTGGCTGCATGCAATGCACAGCTCCCAGAGCATGCAGCTCCCTGCTGGGGACAGGAAAGGTCATTTCCTTTGCACTGGCATCACCCACTGAAGTTCAAATTAAATTTTCATCGAAAGGATGGTGGAGGTTTCACAGCTGGAAAGGGGAGGGAGTTCCAAAGGCAGTAAATCTCCATTCTCTCCTTCCTCATGGCCCGTTCCTTCAGGTCACTGCTGTGCCTGTCTTGTGTATCCTGTCCCCAGAGGGGACATTCTGGCCATTTAAGGAAATATTTGGGGCATGGGCATATGAGAGACCATGGAGGAGTTGAGTGTTTTTATTTATTGCACTTCTTGTGTTGGTGAGACCTGAACTGTTTAACTCACCTCTTGCTTCTTTTGCCTTTACTGACTGCCTGTTGTTTTGGGATTTCTTTTCCTTTTCACTCTAGAAATGTTCCCATTTTCTGGAGAGGAAGATATGAGCGATCCAGAGGCTTTGAAATCTTTACTTTCCTTCCAGTGGAAGAACAAAGCACTTAATTTCCCAGCTGAAAGGAAGTTCAATGCAGCTGCTGCCCTGAGTGAGCCATACTGTGCTGTCTGCACCCTCTTCTACCCCTATAACCAGGTAATTCCAGGGAATCATTAAGGTTGGAAAAGACCTGGAGGAACAAGTCCAGCTGTCAGTCTGTTCACATGGATCTGTACCCGTGTTTTTTGTACCCATGTGTTTTTTGGGATGGTGACCCCACTGATTATCTGGGCAGTCTGTGCCATGGCCTGACCACACCTTCCCTGAAGAGATTTCCCCTAAAAATCTCATCTAAACCTCTGGCACTGCTCAGATGGATGAATTAGGGTGCAGACGTTTCTGATAGAGACAAACCCATACAAATTTGCACACCAGAGAAATGTGTTTGGATTTGGCAGTGGTTGGAGCTTTTTTTGTTCTCTTTCCTGGCTTCTCTGGCTTGCTCAGTGTTCATTTTGAAATCACACTGAAGGAGCTTTGCAAACACTGTTCCATGCAGAGAAAAGTCACACCAGGCTCCTGTTTCCATACGGGCCTGAGTTGCTGAATTTATGCAAACAAGCCACAAAATAAAAATTTCCTGAGTAAGCACATCCATCACCTTTTTTTGGAAACTACCAATATGCTTTGGGAGATGTTATGAGCGGAAAGGCAAAATTCATCAGATGAATTTGTTATTTGTGCAGTTGTGCATTGATTTGTTCTCACATAAAGCCAAATCTGGCTTTGTGTGCCCACCAGGAATTCGTGCCTTAGAAACTTGTGGCTGTGTTGGAAGCTTTTCCTGAGGAAAGCAGAGCCCACCTCCCCCTTCAATAAAATCTCTTGATTTATTATATGGACTGAAAAGAAAATATCTGTTCTGATTGCTGGCTGTTGGGAGGGAAACTGGGTGCAGCTGAGCTGGTTTTATCCATTGCTTTTAACTCTGTCTGCTACTAGAAACCTTGAAATGTCCTTCAGGAGAACTTCTTGCAGGAAAAGTAGGGAAGGATGCCAAAGGGATGGGAAAGGGGGAGGGATGGTTTTGCCTTTAGTAATATTTTCCTTTTTATTTTTCCTTGGTGTTTTCAGCTGCAATTTAGGAATTTAGATTTTTGCAGCAGAAAAACAGGAAAAGCTGCTCATTATTCTAATGCTTTCTTGGAGCTTTCACAGCAAATCACAGATCCCAGTCGATGCCTGAGGAGGAGGGGGAGAAGCAAGGTGGGGGTGGGAGTCAGGATTTGAGGGCATTTTTGGTGACTTTTGGGTGACATTTTCGCAAGGGGAGTGCTCAGGGTGGGAGGTGGAGCCATGGGCAGGCTGCTCAGTGATGGGATTTTCTCTGCAGTCCTCACAGGTGGAGAGAGAAGCTGCCCCAGTGTCCACAGGGGAGCCTCCCACCTTCGTGCACCTTTCCAAGTGTGGGCAGAGGAGCAAGCCCCTGATCCCAGAGATGTGCTTCACCTCCAGTGGAGAGAACACCGAGCCCCTTCCTTCAAACTCCTACATTGGAGAGGATGGAACCAGCCCCTTGATCTCCTGTGCCAAATGCTGCCTGCAGGTTCATGCTAGTGAGTGTTTGTTTGACCTTCCCCAAGTCTTTGGGTCCTGACAAACTCAGGGGGGTGTGTGTGTGTGGCTGTAGCTGAGTTCCTTCTTGGCAGGTTTGGATCCTGTCACTCCCATTTTTATCTTTCTCAGTACAAGGATATCAGGAATCCCAGAAAGGTTTGGGTTGGAAGGACCTTAAAGCTCATCCAGTTCCCATCCCCTGCCATGGGCAGGGAACCTTTCTCTCAAAGTCTATCTGTGCATTCAAGTCCATCTTGGCAGTCACTGATCTTAAAAATACACACCAATATTCTTTGTAGTGCTTATTTTGTTGGCTGATTCTTCTCTGTCTCACAGAAAAGATTCTTTCTTTTGATACCTTTCATTTTTTGTAATAAAGCAGAACTCAAAGGCTTTATTGCACTCTTTTCTCTAACATATTTCGTTCCAATATTGTTCTGCTGGGGGAGGCTATATTGTTCCTGCATGCAGCAGAGATTATGGGGTAGTTTGAGATATATTTTATTAGTGTCTGTGATAGTGTTTGTAGTAATGGCACTTGATTACAAAAGGGAACATATGTCTGTTTGCTTCCCTGATAGTTATGTCTAAAAGAAGATCTGATTAATCCTGGTGGAGTGTACCTTCAGTGCAGATTGTACAGCATCCAGTTAACATTTGTGACGAATTACTGTTCAGCTGTTTGATCTTGACAGATGGGGAATCTTATTTGACTTGCATCAGCTGGAATTACTTTTGTTGTTCCAATTTTAGAGTCTGCAGGTCCCCGTGCAGCTCAGCAGGGCTGGAGAACTGAAAGGCAACTTTAGTTTGTGTGCTGAATCCCTAATTATGGTCATTTCTGGTTAATCAGGCCATGGGATGCAGAGTGGGTGTGAGGAGGAAGATTTCATCCTGCCTTCACAATTCAGGGCTGCTGCATCTTGTCCATCCTTAGTCCAGTCTATCAGAATGGTTTCTGTGGCCAAATTCTCTTCAAGGACAGAGAGGTGTGGGAAGATGAAACAACCAGTGCCTGGTTGTTTCCTTGGGTCTGTGACATCCCTTTGACTTTGCTGCAGAAAATCCATTTGCTTTTATTGCAGGATTGCAGTGGTGAGGTGTATTTTGGCTGGCTGTAAAACCAGCTGGCAGCCTGTGTGTTCTTGGGAAGTGCCCTCAAGTTGTGCTGGTTTCCAGCAGCCAGGGGAAGGTTTGGGGAGCTTTCTGGGCTTTTGAGGCACTGACAAAATCCATAAAAAGAACATATTTATCTTGGTCTGCTTGGATTATCCTCATGGGACAACCTGGGGTTCAGTAAATGGGATTGTTCTGCCCTCACAGAATCACTGAGGTCAATCAATCCCAAACATCAGCCCAGCACCAGCACCTGCCCACCACGAGCCATGTCCCCAGCTCTCTTTTCTGAGCACTTCCAGAGATGATGATTCCACCTGGGCAGGCTGTTCCAATGCTTCCAGCCCTTTCCATGAAGAAATTTTCCCTGTTTTTCAATCTAAACCTTCCCTGGTGCAGCTTGAGGCTGTGCTCAGGGTCTGGCTCTCCCTCAGCTCAGTTTCCCTCAGCTCTGTCCCTGTTCTAGGCCTGGCTGGAATTTGCTTCCCTGATTTGCCATATGATGAAAAGAGACCTCAGAAGTGGAGAGCAGCTGCAGATCCATAGTATTGACTTTTTTTGACATGCTGTTTATCTGGTTAAGTGGAAGATATTTATAAATCAGGCTGTGGTGGCAATCCCAGTGCTTTCTGAATGTCTTCTTTTAAGTTTAATTTGGTAATTTGAGATTGTTGTTCCCAGCTGAAATTTTCTGTTCAGTTTGTTAGGATAGGTGAAGGCTGGATGGGATTTTGTTGGGAAGGATAGAGGCTGGATGTAATCAGCTGTATGTTAGTGAGATGCTTATCTTCAATTTTCCATTCACTTTTTACAAGCTTGCAGGAATCACATAGATCTGCTTTTCCAAAACTGGATCTGTGTCTTTTCCCCATTGTTTTCAGTGACAAACCTCAGTGTCTTTTATAGAATTTTAAGGATTTTTTTTTTATTCTTATTTCCCTGTCTCTATAATACCACTTTACTATTTTGGTGTTGTTGTAGGAGGATTTGGTGCCTGCATGTTACAGTAATTGATGCTCTGTAAAATGAGATGCTTTTAACACTTCCTATAACCATAAATTAAATATTATTAACCATGTGGAATGCAGGTATTTAATTGCCTTGCAGTGTTATTGGGCTTGTCCTTCCTCATAACACCACACAGCAAAAGGAACTGCATCAACCTTGCCAGAATTCAGTGCCCTTCCCTGTTTTGATGTGTGAGTGCACTCCAGCAATGGTGGCATCACCTTGGAGCCCATTTCCTGCCTAAAGAAACAAAATCTTGCTATTGCAGTCCTTAGAAAAGTGAAACACCAATGTCAGGGTTACCTGTGGGGGAGAATTTTGGTTGATTTGTTTTCAGACCTGCTGGTCCCGATTCCGGTTTTGTCTGAGCCTGTTGAATACAGACCCTGGAATGCTTTCACAGTTGTTTCTGAGCTGAGAGCTCCTGAGTCCAGCAGGGCAGTGCTGGGCTGAGCCCAGGCCCTGCAGTGACCAGGCCGTGCAGTGACCAGGCCGTGCAGTGACCAGGCCGTGCAGTGACCAGGCCGTGCTGTGTCCAGGCCCTGCAGTGACCAGAGTCTGTGGCTCTGTTTGTTTGGTCCAGCAGTGCTGGGCTGTGACCAGGCCGTGCTGTGACCAGGCCATGCTGTGTCCAGGCCATGCTGTGTCCAGGCCGTGCTGTGACCAGGCTCTGTGGCTCTGTTTGTTGGATCCAGCAGTGCTGGGCTGTGTCTAGGCCGTGCTGTGACCAGGCTCTGTGGCTCTGTTCCTTGCAGGCTGTTATGGGATCCGCCCGGAGCTGGTGAACGAGAGCTGGGCGTGCTCGCGGTGCTCTGCCGGCGCCTGGGCAGCGGTAAGGAGCGGGCACAGCACGCCTGGCACCCCGAGCTGCTGCCAGGGGATGAGTGCTGGGAGGGTTCAGGCTGCCTTTGACATCCCGGGGGGGTGCAGTCACTTTCTGGGGAGGATGAGAAGCCTGGCAGGGCGTTTGGGTGCTGTTCTGAAGGATTTGTGTTCCCGCAGGAATGCTGCCTGTGCAATCTCAGGGGAGGAGCTCTCCAGATGACCACTGATGGCCGGTGAGTGCTGCCTTTGAGTGCATTTCCCTTCCACACTGCTCCTAATCTCCTTGTCTTGGGAATTTGGTCTCAATGCTCAGTGTAGGAGCAAGTTTTGGGTTTCTGGAGGGAACTGCATCTCGCTGACAGGGCAGCCCAAGTGCTTGTGCTGCCCTACACTGCACCAGAGCTTCTGAACCCCTGCTGAATGTGGTTGTTTCTCAGAGGGAAGTCTTCTCAGAGAATGTTTAGCATTGTGCAAAGTCAGGTGTAAAAGAAGGTTGATCTCTGTTGTTCCAAAGACATTTACCTTGTGCCACCCTAATTATCAGTCGAGCGTTGCCAAGGCTGCCAACCCCTGGAAATGTGCCTCGATGCTGAGGGAGGCAGGGAAATGTTAACTGCCCTCCTGAGCATTTCATTCAAGTAATGGCAGGCCCTGATTTGTGTCTTGTCTTTGCTCCCCAGGTGGGTGCACGTGATCTGTGCCATTGCTGTCCCCGAGGCGCGTTTCCTCAATGTCATCGAGCGTCATCCTGTGGATATCAGCGCCATCCCCGAGCAGAGGTGGAAACTGGTGGGTGTCTTTTACTGGGGACATGGTTTGGGAACAAGAGCCAGAGGGAAAAGCTGTAACCAGACAGAAAAACATTGTGTGGGTTCATAAAGCAGCTGAGAGTGGAGGTGACCTCACTCTCGTTTCCAAACAAAAGCTGCATTGTTTGTGTCTGCCGAGCCCTGTCAGTGCTTTGACACACAACCAGCTCTGATTCCAGATGTGCCTTTGCTCTCTGGGAGTGTGTTTTACCCTGGGCAGAGCCTGGGACTCCTTCCCACCTGCAGTCAGGTGTAAACTGAAGCCTGAATGCTCCTTTTACTCCAAGTACTGACAGCAGGAGTGCACAGGGATCTGGTGACTAGAGAGAAGCTGACTTGTTCATCTCTAATTCATCTTTCCTTACAACATTTCTCTTTTTCTATCAAGAAATCTCTTGTAGAAATGAATAAACATTTATGTGACCCTGACTGCAAGGCAAGACTGCAAGGATTTGAATACAAGCCCAGCTCCAAGTTGTTATTTAGCTGTGTGGCCTCATCCGAGGGATTAGTAATGGACGATTCATTAGCTCAGAGCAATTTATCTTAATGTTAGTTAATGCTCCATCACCATAGTGTGTTATTGCAAAATAAATTGTGCTTTTGCTGCTTTTTTTGGTACAGAAGTCAGCTGGGTGACACAGTGTGGGATGGGGAAGGTGCTGGAGCAGTGATAGATGGGTTAGTGCTGATGGATTCGTTAACAGAGCTGCTACTTAGTGCAGCCAGCCCGGGTGAGAGATTAGGAGGAACCTATCCCTGCTTCCAGAGTTATTTCTCTGTTGTGCAAATGGGTTTTGTACACAAATGTGAATGTAAAAAGCATTCATTATTCAGCAGGAGTGATGGGGCAGTGCAATGCCAGGGTGATAAATCTTGCAGCCGTGGCTCTTTATGGATCAGCTGACACTTCCAACGTGCATCCTCTTCATTACCAGCACTTGTAACGCTGAACTTAAAATCCTTTTACACAACACTCACTTGTATTGCTTAATGGAGCCTCACAAGGAAGCATGACTTAATTCTTTAACCCTTCCTTGGGTTTCTGGTGCTCCTGCAGAGCTCAGGCAGTGTCTGTGTGTGTCTGACTCTGCTGCTTTGCTTTGCTCCTGTGCCTACCAAAGCCTCTGCACAGACCCACTGCACCCATTTCTCCTTCATTCCTCAATTCAAACTGCAAAGTTCCATAGAATCCCAGAATATCCTGAGTTGGGAGGGTCCCCAAAGAGCATCAGTCCAACTCCTGGCCCTGCACAGACATCCCAGCAGTCCCACCCTGCATTGTCCAAATGCTCCTGGAGCTCTGGAAAGAAATTTTGTTTGATTTCTTCTGTTGTATCCCATTTGCACCTCATGTTTTCTTCCAGCAATGGTGCAGTACTTGATAAAAGTGGGAAGATGTCCTCTGTGGCTGGCAAAGATGGAAAAGGAGGGAAGGAATAATGTGAAGGGTGAGGACAGTTGATGTGAATGGATGAAGGCAGTGGAGGAGAGAGTGGGTAGGGGTTATCCATGGTTATTATTTGGTTTTTTAATATGTTTGTATTGTTTTAAGTTCCTGTGCTGAGGGCTGATGTCCCAGGGAGTGGCAGTGATCTGGTGGAAGGCACAGCCTGTTCTGTGAGCATGGACCAGGTGTCCCTGTGCAAGCACAGACTTTTCAGTCCATTTGTGGCTATGGCACCATTTCCAGCACTGCAGTTCCCTGCTCCCAGATTGATGGCACATTACAGGCCTGTGCACGTAAATTATTTATGACGTGGAAATTTGGAATAATTAGCTGTCATTCCTCAGTGGAGTAAATGAATTGCAGTGTTCATCATGCAGCAGACAGCCCATTTCTTACTCTCAGCTGTGACCTGACTCTGGTGTGCATTTATTCTGAAGATTTCTCTCCTGTGCTTTGGACTCTTTTCCCTCTTACAGAAAATGCCTTTAAATCTCCATGTGCAGCTTTCCCCCAGCACTTGGCACTGCTCTTTCTGTCCATCCCATCTCCCACACTTCCAGATCTGCATTTTCATACAATCCCAGACTGGTTTGGGTCGGAAGGGGCCTTAAATCCCATCCAGTGCCACCCCTGCCATGGGCAGGGACACCTTCCACTGTCCAGGGTGCTCCAAGCCCATCCCAGCCTTGGCCACTTCCAGGGATTGGGCAGCCACAGCTGCTCTGGGCACCCTGTGCCAGTGTTGTGCCACCCTCACAGCAAGAACTGTCACTTCCTCCATCACTCCTTACAGGCTCACTGTCACTCACATTTATCTTTTGATCATATTTGCCCTGAATGTCCCTTTGGTGCAGCTCTTGTGCCTGTCACAGGGAGTGTGTGTGGGCACAGGGTGGCACTGGGTGTGTGACTGGTCCTGGCTTGACAGAGCCCTTGGCATCAGGAGGGGCAGATCCCTGCCCTGGGAGGGTTAATGCTCCCCCTGTGTGTCAGCAGCTGTCCCTGCTGCTGGGACCAGGGGATATCGACAGGTTAATAATGGGATCTGTGCTATTGGCTCCCCTCAGTCCTGCTGGGCACTTCCCTGGTGCTTATCTGCCTCTGGAACATGGTTTGCAGAGAGATAAAGGCTCAGCTTATTAAAGGCTAAACCCACGTTCTGGCAGCACTCAGGCTCTGGCTTTGAATTTCCTGGCTTTTGTTCGTTTGTGTAAAAAGGGCAAATTAATCTTTGGTGTAAACAAACTGCCTTCAGTTAATTCAGAGGAAGGAATGGGATTATTTCCTATAAATGTGGGGCAGAGCCCAGGCAGGGAGGGGGGTGTTGCTCAGGAATAAGGAAGAGCAAATCTCCTGTTCTTTGGCATCTTTTGCTTTCAAGGAAGAGAAATGTTCCTGGACAAGGAATCCCAGAATGGTTTGGGTTGGATGGGACCTTGAAAGTTTTGGAGGTCCACCCTGTGCCATGGTCAGGGGCACTCTTTGTTCATTTTAATCATGAAAGGCACATTTGTCTCATGTGTGTGATGTTAATTTTGCCCTGGTTTGCTTTGTCCCAGCCTCAGATAAGGTAAAGAAGCTGCCCCAGTGTCCCAGGCCAGGTTGGATGGGGCTGGATGAGCTTTAAGGTCCTTCCAGCCCAAACCATTCTGGGATTTGTTGATCAGTGACAGATCCCTGGAAATGTTAAAAACGGAGTGTTTCCAAATGGATCCCTGGAAACATTATGCAAGCATCCATTCTTTAGACTGGGATTCCCAAAATCTCCTTTTCTGTATTTCTGAGGGGCTGGAAACAAGAATTGGTGCTGTTATAGGGAGTGAGGAAATTGATCTTGTTCCCACTGCAGCTCCTGCTCACTGTCAGTGCCATCAGGCTCAGGACTTTTAGCTTTGAGAAAACATAATTTCTTTTTAAAGCAGTCACAATGTCTTGCACTGATTTACCTAATAACTGGGTCTGCTTTGCAGAAAATGAGTGTGAAAATGTCTCCAAGATTTCAGACCTTTTTTCCCCCCATAAATCCGGTCTTTCTGTACAATGTTTTTATTTCTTTTGTTTGCAAAACTGACTGAATTATCTACAGTGGCTCATCTGACATGGATGCCAATAAAATATTTATGGTTGATATGCTTATGCATCTAAAATAAACACACAGTATTTTTCTTCCATTATATAGTTTTATATTCCGTGAGATCTAATCGATACAATGTCCCATTAAATATAAACGAGCAAATTGCCACCCAGTTCCTGGGTTCTGTTCTTTCAGAAAAAATGGAAATGTTATTTTCCAGCAGTGCACCTGTGAGGATGCAGCTGTGTTGGAGTTATTGCAGTGGAGGTTGCACTGCTGTGTGTGAGCAGGGTGAGGGTGCAGCAATTTTCTGGTGCCACTGGTGGCTGTTTGCCTGGGTCCAGTGAGCCCAGTCTGTGTCCAGTGTGGCTCTGCTGGGCTGTGGGACTGGAGGTGCTGGGGAATGACAGGCAGGGAATATCTGCTGGAGTTTCTTGGCTTGCAGAGATCCTCAGTGAGTGCACACAGACAGTCCTTGGGCCCCTTGGCACAGGACATCACCTGGGCTGTGGCTCTGTGCTGTGCCCGTGTGGGGGCTGTGCCAGGCGCCTGTGCCACGTCCTGTGGGGGCTCTGGGGTCTCTGCAGGGCTCCAGGCTCTGCTCCTTCCACAGGTCTGAGCTCTGGGTGTGTTCCCTTGCAGGGCTGTGTGTGATTCCAGCTGTGCTCCATTATTGAGCTGTGTGTGATTCCAGCTGTGCTCCCTTGCAGAGCTGTGTGTGATTCCAGCTGTTGTCCCTTGCAGAGCTGTGTCTCACTCCAGCTGTGCTCCCTTGCAGAGCTGTGTGTGACTCCAGCTGTGCTCCATTATTGAGCTGTGTCTCATTCCAGCTGTGCTCCCTTGCAGAGCTCTCACTGCAGCTGTTGTCCCTTGCAGAGCTGTCTCATTCCAGCTGTGCCCCCTTGCAGAGCTGTGTGTGATTCCAGCTGTTGTCCCTTGCAGAGCTGTGTCTCACTCCAGCTGTGCTCCCTTGCAGAGCTGTGTGTGATTCCAGCTGTGCTCCATTATTGAGTTGTGTCTCATTCCAGCTGTTCCCCCTTGCAGAGCTGTGTCTCATTCCAGCTGTGCTCCCTTGCAGAGCTGTGTCTCACTGCAGCTGTTCCCCCTTGCAGAGCTGTGTCTCACTGCAGCTGTGCTCCCTTGCAGAGCTGTGTCTCACTGCAGCTGTTGTCCCTTGCAGAGCTGTGTCTCACTGCAGCTGTTGTCCCTTGCAGAGGTGTGTGTACTGCAGGAAGAGGATGAAGAAGGTCTCAGGGGCCTGTGTGCAGTGTTCCTACGAGCACTGCTCCACGTCGTTCCACGTGACGTGTGCGCACGCGGCCGGCGTGCCCATGGAGCCCGAGGACTGGCCCTACGTCGTGTCCATCACCTGCTTCAAGCACAAAGCAGCAAACCAGAACGTAGGCTTTGGGCTGGGCTGCTGCTCCTGGGCTGTGTGGGGGGGTTTTGTTGGGCTGTTTTGTTCCTGGGGTTTTTTAAAAATCGTTTCTCCCTGCCTGTGCTGGCTCAAAAGGTTTTGTGCATTTAATGCAGAAGGATTGCCCAGGAAGCCGTTGTTGGGGATGGCTTTCATCTGCAAGAGGGCTGGTTTGGGTTGGGAAGGAATTCTTGGTTGTGAAGAGGGGAAAAGACTGGCACAGGGTGCCCAGAGCAGCTGTGGCTGCCCCTGGATCCCTGGCAGTGCCCAAGGCCAGGCTGGGCACTGGGGCTGGGACAGTGGGAGTTGTCCCTGCCGTGGCAGGGGTGGGATGAGATGAGCTTTTGATCTTTTTCCAACCCACCCCATTCCATGACTCCATGGAATTTTGTGCTTTTCCCGCTGTGGCTCTGACCCTGCTGTGTCCCCACAGGTGCCATTCCGCAGGGAGGTGGCCCTGGGGCAGGCAGTGATCACCAAGAACAGGAACGGGCTCTACTATCGCTGCAGGGTCATTGGCACCAGCACCCAGACCTTCTACGAAGTGAACTTCGACGATGGCTCCTACAGTGACAACGTCTACCCCGAGAGCATCATTGTAAGGCAGCTCTGGGGACACTCCTGTGTCACAGACAGCACAAAGTGGGAGCTGTGCCTTGGGCTGGAACAGCAAAGCAAAACTTCACTTTTTCATTTTAATTTTTAAGTTGCTGCTCGCCTAGAAAAATCTCATCCTGCTCTTCATGACAGATCTTGTTTCTGACATGATCTCATTTATTTTTTTGGTTGCTTTACAAAGATGTGGTCTTGCTGAATGCAGATGACTTCACAGAAAGCAGTGTTTGTTCTAAATTTCATCCTATTTGTTTTGTGGTTGAATAATCTTATTTTTCAACTGACAAGTGTGATTCATGGGGGAAGCAGATTGTCCCTAAGCAGATCTGGTGCAAAACAGGGAATTCACTTAATAGAGGGAATGTCTAGAAGAGGCTGATTTGTCAGCTCATGCATTGCCTTCCTGATTGTGCCACTGATTCACTGAGTTGCCCTGCTTGTTTCTGAGATACAGGAGATGTGATGTTGTGGGGTTTGTAATGAGAAATGTCCACGAACTGGGTGCTGGCAGCAGAAGGAGCTGCCAGGGTTGATTGCTGGTCTCTCAGGCTGGTTTTGTTTGAGATGCCCACGATTAATGACGAGTGCAGCAATGTATCTTCTTGCTCATTGCCGTGTTATGTGATCTCAGCACACCTCTGGCTCCTGGGCTCTGCTGGAGTCGTGTCTCTGAGCCCTCTCTCTCTGTTCCCAGAGCAGGGACTGCATCCAGATGGGGCCCCCCCCGGAGGGGGAGCTGGTGCAGCTGCAGTGGACGGATGGGATCATCTACAAGGCCAAGTTCATTGCAGCCCAGATCAGCCAGATTTACCAGGTGAGGGGGACAGAGGGATCCAGCCCTGGGGTGCTGCTCCAGGGAGGGGCTGCTGCAGCTGGGCAGAGCAGGAGGAGGATCTGGCAGCACAGATGATTTATTCCCTCTGAGTTTGTCCAGCCTGAACTTGACACCCCTGTTAAACTGTGCTCTGTGTCCTCCTGTTTTATACAGAAAAATGTATTAAAGTCTTGGGCAAAGGAAATAAGAATCCTTTAAAAACTTTTAATAGTTTTAACATTTTGCTGTGCACGTTTCTATGAATAAACATCCCTGGAACATCTGATGCATAATTCATGATATAATCAGTGCTTAGCAAAAAGGGTTTCATGGGAGGAGTTTTTTGTACCTGGCTGACTATTTCTGCTGGTTGAAATACAAATGTACTTTAGTAGCTGGAGTTGCTTCCCTGTGACCTGTGAAAATGCTTTGTTTAAGATGAAAGAAATTCTTATTACCATACTGGCCTGAATACAGGGCTGCTTTTATTAAAAGTGAAAAGCTGCTTTTTTCAGGATATGAATCAAAAATCAGTAGAAATGTGAGGTGCTGGGCCAGCTGGAGTGCAGATATTTTGGGATCTATGGAGCACTGAATGAATCCACTTGGATAAGGCAGAGGTGCCTGAACTGAAAGCTGCATTTTTTGGGTTCAGCATCCTCACCAGAGCCTGGGAGTGCTCATTCCACAGCAGCCCTGGAGACATCCATAGGAGCTGGTTCCTGATGCTTGCTGGCTGCTCCTGGAGCTGTGGGTCAGGAGGGGAATGGGAAATGGGAATGGGGAATGGGAAATGTTCAAATTCTGCCTTTGAGCTCATCTTCTGCCTCCCTGCAGGTGGAGTTTGAAGATGGCTCTCAGCTAATGGTGAAGCGTGGGGATATTTATACCTTGGAGGAAGAGCTTCCCAAGAGAGTCAAATCTCGCCTGGTGGGTACCAAAATAGCAAACAAGAAACCAGCTGCAGCTTGCAGAACCCCTTCACATTTTCTTCATGTATTTTTTAGACATTAGGTGAATGCAGCCTCCAATTTCTGTGGCTGTAAAACTGCTTGTCATTCCCAAAATACACAGAGTGGAAGAAATCCTGGCCATGAATGGTTGAGAGGCACAGAAATGATTTTCCCTTGCACATGTTCAGCTCAGAGTTTTATTTTCTCTGGTTAAAAGATTATGTTCAGATCATTTTACACCATATGAATTCAGTTATGTGGAGTCATCCTGTCCAAGTGTGAGGTGAGCTGGGCTGCAGCTCAAGGGTTTCTGGAGAACTGATTATCACCATGGGACCAAAACCCCTTTTCTCACCAAACTGGAGATTTAGAGTGTGGCTTTTACCTATAAATCTCTTAATCTACAAGATCAGGCTGTCTTTAAGTGAAACAGTGGAATTACTGAGCCTAGAAAAGATGAGGGATTTATTTCATAGCTCTTTGGCTCCAGACCTGCTGGATGTTTTCAGACCTGGTGCTTTCCCTCTAAAGCCATTTTGTTAAACCAGGTGATGGGGCTGGAGAATGCCCAGGTTTCTCCCAGCCTAAAGGGTCTGTCCCTGTATTCCTGCTGTGTCCTAATGGTTGTTTTGTGTCTCCTGCAGTCCCTCAGCACTGGGGCCCCTCAGGAAGATGCATTTTCAGGAGATGAAGTGAGAGCAGCCAAGCGTCCCCGGCTGGGGAATCCCAGAAATCCTGAGGAATATGGACAGACCCCAGATTACCTGGCCTTTATGGAGAGCCTGCTGCAGACACAGTACCAGCCTGGGACTCAGAGTAACATGTTTTAACCAGGATTCATCCAAAATATTCGATTAACCCTTTTTGAGATCATGGAAACATAAATAGGAAACTGTGGAATGGAAGACCAGCCCTGTGCAATAGTCTGCTGTGAATTTCTTTCATCTCCTCTTGGTTTGGACTGCAGGAAATCCCTGTCTGGCTGCTACCTCGACCTTGCCAGGAGTTGCTGACCAAGAGCTGGGGAGCTTGGAAACCCTTCAGCTTTTCACACGGAGACTTTGGAAGAGTTTCTACAGATGGAGCTTTGTGACTGGTTCTTTTTTATGAGGAAAGGGTTAAAATTTAACAAATTGACTTTTTCAAACCTGTCAAACTTTTGTCTTTCAAGGTGCTATTACATTGACTACTGAAGCAGCCTTTGGAATCGTGTTTTCTGTACATAGACACCACCTTTGTGAAGTTTTCTATGAATGAGCATTATTAAAAAAAAAAAAGCAAGCAAAAATAGGAAAACGAAAGTTTCCACAAAACATTTTTCTAGATTATGGCTTTAAAACAGAAAATAAATGAAATCCTCCCCCCTCACCTCCAAATGAATTGTGACTGATGTTACAGTGGGGAGAGGGAGAGCAGGAGCAGATGTCCTGGGATGTTCTGGGTTCTTCTTTTGTAAAGAAACTCTGTCTTTGTAAGCTGGGGAAGGTGGGGGAAAAACGTTCACCTTGGGATGTTTCTGCCATTGGCTCTCTGGAAGCCCTGGGTGGATGTTGGCATCGCTGCCACATCACCAGGGAGGGGCTTAGACAAGAAATGGCCAGGCTGGCTCATTCCTGTCATCTTCCTTCCCCATCTTTGCCATCACACTTGCTTTCTAGTTCAGGATCAGCATGGCTTTGAGTTGCAGTGTGCCCCCAGGTTTGGCAGGTGTTCTGCTGCTCCTTGTGTTATTTCCCCACGAGAGCTCCAGGGGCTGCCCTGACAGCATTTCTCCTTTGGGAACTTTTCTCTTTCTTTGTCTCTTTATTTTTTAATTTTTTTTTTTTTTTTTTTTTGAGTTGTGCTCCTTACAGTGTGAGAATCATTCCATGACAGAAGCTTGGGAGGTGTTTGTATGTTTTTTCTTTTATCCTATTAAAGAAGAAATTCCCCAAACATCTGATTGTCGTGCCATCCTTTCCTTGAGTAAAGACTGAGCCTGTGAGTTCATCCTGGAGGAGTGCAAGCCCTGCCTTAGCCTGGACCCAGCTCAGCGAGGACTGGAGGGGCACTGAAGGCAAAGCCCAGCCCTGAAGGGCAGCTCCTCCCTGGGCTCAGGGATGGCCCCGGGCCCAAGAGCTGATGTGGAGCAGAGCTGGGGAAGGAGCCTGGTGCAAACCCTGCCGAAATCACTGCCGAGTCTTCCCCTCCCTTTGGAGGAGCTCAGGCAGTTGAGAGGGAGAGGAGGAGGCTGAGCTGGTCCCGAGCTGGGAAGGTTCAGGTGCAGGGAGGGGGAGAGGGCACCTGGGCCAGCCAAACAACCTGGAATGCTACACTGCAATCTTTTCCACTAAATTCCCTGAAATGACTGGATGGAGAGAGACAATATTCTTGTTTTTACGATTGCTTTTAAGCCCCTTTGCAAGGTGGTCGTTGTTCTGGGGAGAGGCTGTTAAGCAACGCTCTGGCTGGATCTTAAAGGGAATAAGTGGGAAGGATTTGTGGGCTAGCAGATGGTAGATTAGCATCTTAAGAGACTCCATGGGTATTAAACTGTCCTAGTGAAAGAGTGGAGATAGAATTAAGCAATTTAATTTTTTTTTTTTTTTTTTTACTTTGGTTTTGTTCTCCCTTGAGGATTGGAGTTCCCATCCTTTCTCCTGCCTGTGCTATGGCTCCTGCATGGTTGTAAGGCCTTGGAAACAAGGTTCTGCTTTTGTTTTTTTTTTTTTTATTTCTGAGTTTTTGACGTTTTCAGTAGATGTCTCCACGAATAAAATCAAACTGAGACTAATAAAAGTTTAAAAAATTGGCAAGGTTCTCCCGAGCCCCGGTTGTTCCTCCTACAGAGCTGTCTCCTGTCGGTTGAAATGTGATTAAATACAAAACTTGCTGTATAAAAGACTAAGAATGTTGCCAGGCCACGAGAGAAATATTTAAAACAATTGAAAGAGAAATTTAACCAGCAGAGGATTTTTTTTTTTTTTTTTTGAGGTGGGAGGGAAGGGTGGGATGGGATGAGTGGTTGTGAACGATGGGGAATTTCCTCTGCATGTTCGAGTCCTGCAATAGCACCTTTGCTGTATCCATTTGTAGAACCTTTCCCAAATACTATTTATATTGTAAAAACAAAAGTGTGTTTCCTCACCCCATATTCAGATGCTGAGTTATGTTGAAACATGAATCTGGAACTGTTGAATGCCCTTCCTTGGTGCAAGGGTTTTTCTCTCTTTTTGTTGATTTTTAAATCCCTCTCTTTGGTTTAGGAATGACTTGTGCAGATTCAGGATAGTGGCCATATCGAAAAGGAAATAGGAAATGCACATTCCTACCCCCTCCTCCAGTGAAATATATTTGTGTCTGATTATGTGCTATAAAAATAATGATTTTTTTTTTTCTTTCTCCCCCTAGATTCAGGCTGTGATGTATTTTTTGCCGATTTTTTTCTCTGCCTCTAGGTTCAAAATGAATTAAAGGCTGTTGAGCATTTCAGAATGACACTTCTTGGGGGGTTGAAGTCTCTTCATTTCTAAGTTTAAAGTCTTTTGTGCAGCAGGAGGTCGTTGAACCTCCTCCAACAGCATCTTCCTGAAACTTCATTTAAACACCTTAAATTTCCCATCCTGAGCTTTTTTTGATAAATTCCTCTCCAGTTCTTGCAGGATGAGGCTGATGAGAAAGAAATCTCCCAACTTCCAGTCTTTTACAGTTTAATAATTTCCCTTGGCACGATCTGAGGAATCGCCGGTGGGGAGGAACTCCTGGAGCTGACACCAAGGCGGAGCTGTTTGAGGTTCGGGAGATTCCCGAGACCTGGAGCAGCAGCACCGGGCACAGGGAGGGAGAGAGCCCGAGGGTGAGACGGGGGTGTCCCCGGGAATGGACCGGGAATGGACCGGGAATGGTCTGGGAATGGGAGAATGGTCTGGGAATGGTCTGGGAATGGTGTGGGAATGAGGGGCTCGAGAATGCGGGGCTGCTCCCGTGGTTCTGGAGCTGTTCCCTGAGCTGTTCCCGTGGTTGTTCCCGTGGTTCTGGAGCTGTTCCGTGGTTCTGGAGCTGTTTCCATGGCTGTTCCGTGGTTCCCGTGGTTGTTCCCGTGGTTGTTCCGTGGTTCCCGTGGTTGTTCTGTGGTTGTTCCGTGGTTGTTCCGTGGTTGTTCCGTGGTTTTTCCCATGGTTGTTCCGTGGTTGTTCCGTGGTTTTTCCCGTGGTTGTTCCGTGGTTGTTCCCGTGGTTGTTCCGTGGTTCCCGTGGTTGTTCCCGTGGTTGTTCCCGTGGTTGTTCCGTGGTTCCCGTGGTTGTTCCGTGGTTCCGGAGCTCCGGGAGGTTCGGCCGTGCCGGGGCAGCCCCGCGGAGCCGATGGGAGCTGAGCTCACACTCGGGAATTTAAAGAATTTAACCCCCAAAATTCGAGCCAGAGCACCTGGCACAGGTGGGACCTGCGGTGATGCCGAAGTTTCAGGAACAGAGAGAACAAATAACTCGGGAGTGCAGGGAAAGATTCCCGAGGAGCCCCTGTGGGTTCCTGATTTTAGGTCACCTCTTGTTCCTCGTCCCATGAACGACTGAGCTGGCACAGGCACACACACACAAAAAAAAAAAAAAAAAAAAAAAGGAGTTTTGGCACAATCCTGAGACTCAAATGAGCTGGAGCTGTTGACACAGAATTATTTGGCAGCTTTGATAGCAGAAGAAGAGAAGTCCTTGGGTTACTTGCTCACCAACAGAAAATCACTGGGAGTTATTTATTCTGCATGAGAGCAGCAAAACAATTAAATTTTTTGGTTTCCAAGAGGGGAAATGTAAAGGTCGCTGTGCAAATACTGTTTGGATTTACACAGCGACCACAGCTTAAGCACTTTTCCTGTGGAACAAACAGGATTTTGGCTCTGTGTCAGCACAGTTCACTTTGGCTTACCTCTCCATCCACAGCCTTGCCATTTCAGATGCCAGCTGCTAATATCCCCTAGCATCCAGTCTGTTCTGAAACAGGAGTGATACCCTCCCCTGTGCCCCAGATCAGGGTTTAAAAATAAAGAAACGACCAGATCCACTGCTCATCTGCTTCATTTAACAGAGCCATCTCTGGAAAATGCAGCAAATTGTCTTTGATTAGGAGTGAGTGGCCAGTTAGCCACGGTCCAGGCCAAGATGCTGCTGTGGAGAGGAGCAGGGATTCATCTGCCTGAACAAAAAGATGAATTCGAGGTCATGGGAGGTGCAGAAGGGTCCCTGGGCAGTTTGTGCAGAAGCCACGAGGCAGGAGAAGGGCTCTGGTGTGACTCTCATTTCCTCGTGGCTCTGCTGAGGTTTTTCCTTCTCTTTTACCTGAACAGCTCAGAGCCACTTGGAGCCGTGTCTGGTTAATCTGGGATTCAGCTCTAACATGGAATTAACGCTGCAATCCAGGAGCTTTGTGGCCTGGCTTGGGTGATTAGTGTGAGATTTTTGTCAGCACGAAGTGAAAAATCTGCCTGAGCACAGCTCTGAGATCCCTGTGCTCGGGGATGGCTCTGGGTTACAGGAACAATTTATCACCACATTTTTCACTAATTCAGCTTAGAGACAATTGGCTGCTTGTTAAACGCTGCCATTTCTCTCACTTCTGTGATATCCCAAACCAAGGAGCTGCCACGTCCTGCTGCAGCTTCCCAGCCCTGCTGCTCCTTTTCCCTTTTCCTTTTTTCCTTTTTCTCTTTTCCCTTCCCTTTTCCCCTCAGTGCAGCCTCTCTGTGCTGAAATTCCAGGTCTGGGTGCTCCTGGTTCTGTTCCTGCCATCCTCCTCCTCCTCCTTATTTTTATGTCACTGCTCAGTGTGGGAAGTTTTTCCTTTTTGTACAGCTTTGCTTTCAATTTATCAACTCTTCCTTCCTGTAGAAAATTGCAAATAGGCTCCCCTAGCTGCTTTGTTCCTTCTCCATGTTTGTTTCTTTTCTCAGGATCTGACTGCCATGGGTTGGGAGAGGAGGAGGAGGAAAATTCAAGGAGCTCCTGATGTTTCCCTTAGGGCTTCCTCCAATCCAGAGCAAGGAAAACAAATTAAAACCAAGGTGGTGGAACCCACCAGAATATTTTACACTTATTTTGGTGATTTATTAACTGCAGAGTAGATGGGGGAAATTCATGGCATTGTGTTTTTGTGTTGCTGAAGCATCCTGGGTGCATAATTCGGGGTAAGATTAATTCCTGTGTGATAAAGGAATAAAAAAATATCACAGTGAGGAGGCTTGTGCCTGGAAATGGTTTCCAGTCTCTGCTAGAACACGGTGAAACAGGATAATGGGAAAAATAATGGGAAATATGGTTTGCTGTGTAATCACTGGCCTCTGGGGGATTTTATTTTGGTGACTCAGCAGACACAGAAATGAGAACTTGAGGCATTTGGCCACTGCCAAGGTCGTGGTTGTTGCTCTTACAGCAGGATTTGAAGTTTCACAATAAATTTGGGGCAGAAAGAAAGAGAATTCCAAGGTGTTTCTGGTACCCTTGGCAGCTGCCTGCACCCAGGGACATGGGCCTGGCAGTGGGGTGGAATGAGATTAGGAATGGGTAGAATTATTCCAAATACTTAATTTCTTTCAGGTGATTATTTGTTTCCAAGTCACTTCCAAAGAGGGGAATGAAGCTGGGAGGAAAAGAGAATTAACCAGGGAAGTTTCTGGTGTTGTTTTTTGGTTTGGGATCCATCTCAGGTGTTGTGAGCTGAGGTGTGAAACCACCTTTGGCTCAGCTCCATCCCCAGGAAAAGCTCAGAAATTCCCTGGGCCAGAGACACCAAAAGCATAACCAGGGACTCCCAAAAGGGAGGAACCATTGCAAAAAAAAATTTTAACACCTCTGGTGATCCTGGGAGCCTCCTGAGCTGAGATTTCTGCTGCACCCATGGGTGGGAGCAGCTCTCTCCCAGCAGGGACCCCCAGCCCTGCTCCCCTCCCTGCCAGGAGCAGACAAAAGCC